GTCAGTTGACTTTCCCTCCTTGTATAAGTCTTATTCTTCCACAATATAATGTTCTTTGAATTTTCTCAAAATTTGATCTTGGCACTTCCCTGGCAAGTGCAAGGGCCTCAGTTCAATCCCCGGTTCTGCAAAAACAAAAACAAAAACAAAATTTTATCTTGGGCCAGGGAGATAGTTCAGTGGACTAAACTGCCTGCTTGGGTACGCTTAGGCAAGTACAGGGACCGCGGTTCAGTCCCCAGCACCATATGCAGTGCCAGCTCCACCCCCAGGGTGGGCTGAGCCAGCCAGAGTCTGGGCCTAGTGGTGCACTCCTGTAATCCCAGTGCTGGGGAGGCTGAAAGCAGGAGGATCACCATGAGTCCGAGCTGTGCAGTGAGACCCTGTAACAATCAAATACATTAAAAAAGAAAAAGATCTTTTTTTATATTCAGTATTTCTCTCGAGTCAGATATGTTCTATATATTTTATATATTTGTGTTCTTTGATCTATACTTTCTATACAAAATATTGGGTACTCACAATATTGTAGTCTTATTTATTTTGCACGCTATCCATACAATGCATTTTCTCCTAATTCTGAGGGCTACTTTAAACTCCAAGGAAACATTTTTCTTGTATCTAAAAGCTACTTCAGGGGCTGGAGAGATGGCTCAGTGGTCTAAAGCACCTACTTGAAACAAGCTTGGCAAAGCACAGGACCGTGGTTCAGACCCCCAGCACCACATGCCAGCCAGCCCCGCCCCCTGGTGGGCTGAGCTGGCCACACACACACACAATAAATAAATGTAATAAAAAAATAAAAATAAAAAAAATAAAAGCTACTTCAGTATAAAATCTAAGACTGAGGCCAGGGAGATGGCTCAGTGGAATAAGCACTTCTCTGGCAAGCACAAGAGCCTGAGTTCAATCCCTGGTTCAGTAAAAAAAAAATAATAATAATAAAATAAAACAAAATCTAAGACTTTTAAATTTATCTTTCCATGTAATTTATGTAGATAAAATAAAACTGTATATAATCTAAATGTACATATCTGTTTCTTCCTGTGCATAAATAAAACATTATGATTATATTCAGATATGTTTGGCTGCCTATCTTTTGTGAGATCCATTTGTCATTGTCTCTACTAAATGCAGATTGTAATAAAAGATGTAACTTGAATGCTTTATATAAAGGGTGCAATAAAATAAAGTGTGCAAGCTATCACTTTGATCATGTGGTGTTGAATATTGTCAGTCTTCTGTTATACTTGACAATTGTAATTTTTTGGGTAGAGAATAGGAGTGACTAGTAAATGACACAGTATTTTCTATAAATTTTCCTTTTACGTGTGTGATCTGATACAATGTCTCAACTTGAAATCTTGACTGGTCTTGAAGTTACCTCACAGCTGGGGCTGGACTTTGGACTCCTGCCAATCATCAGACTCACAGAAATCCTCCTACCTCAGCCTCCCAAAGTGCTGGGATTACAAGCAAGTATTATCACCCCTGGATGAACTTTTGCTTTTGTAATTAGTGCCTACTGAGTTTGTGATGGCTTCATTTTAATGTATTTAGTGTATTTTGTACATACCTTTTGCCTCATCAATCTCACTAAGACAGTCCTATGAATACTTATATATGTGTGCACAGCGATCAGTAGTTCTCATTGAGCTATAAGACAGTATGCCATCTGGCCCCTAGTTTCATTGTGCATAGACTTCCTCTAAGAATATTATTTTCCCATTAGCATTTCGATATTATACATAAACCTTCTTAGGGCTAGGGAAACAGCTCAGTGGTGCAAGCACCTGTGTGGTAAGCACGAGGTCTTGAGATCGATCCCTAATACTGTAAACAAACCAACAACATAAATCTTTTTTTATTATTTTTATTTTAAAACAAAAAAATAGATAAGACAGTAGAAACGATACAGAATTTTTTAAAAAAATGATAGGAATTCAGCAAAAGTTGCTACATTGTACATTGTTTTCTTCAAAGTAGTTGCTCGGGTTACCAAATATAAGCATGTAAAATTTGTCCAAAATCTTAAGCATTAACTGTTCTCTTGAAAAATCTCATAGAAATTAGTAGTATAATCATCTTAGCTTGGGGCCAATGAGATAGTTCAGTGGCTTAAATTCCTGCTTGGCAAGGTCTTGAATTCAACCCCTAGTTTAAAAAAAAACACAGAAGATACATATATAGATATAGATATATAATTATACATTATATAATCTATATTATATAATGTGTATGATGATGTTTTCCCCTTTTTTTTTCCTTTTGTTTCTTTCCTTCATCTGTGTATTTTAGATATACATAGTGATTACATTCATCTTGGGAATTTTTACCTCTACATAGTGTATCTTTCTTCTTTATTTTCTTCCACTCTTCAGCCCGCAATTCAGACCATCTTTCCCTCTTTGTTTATAAAATGGTTGCCTTTTTGTCCTTCAATTCCTTGTTCTAAAGCATTGTTTTCCATGTTATATTGAAAATTAGGGGCTGGGGAGATGGCTCCGTAGAATAAGCGTTTCCCTGGCAAGTGCAAATTAATCACATATTCAGTGTTATAGTTTTCAGAAAAACTAAACTGAATTTGTTATATAATTATGTTCTTAAACACAGGTTTTATAATAACTTACTAATGGACTACCTACTCGATATTGTATCAACCTTTTTTTTTCTTTCCTTTTTTTGTCTCCTCCTCCTCCTTCCTCCTTCCTCCTTCCTCCTCCTTCCTCCTTCTTCCTTCCTCCTTCCTCCTTCCTCCTTCCTCCTTCCTCTTTCCTCTTTCTTCTTTCAGTTCTGGAACTTTATTTCAAAGTTCTCATTCACCTTCACTGTCTGGAGACTTTTGAATGTGGTAACGGATATAGCTTACCAAGGTATACAGCTTGTTTGGTGACTCTTCATCCTCATTCTGTTTCCTAGACAACTGTACCTGGATACAATATGGAACATTCCTTATTCCTTTGGCCCAGACAGCTTTGTTGAGCCTGGTATCAATGCACGTCTGGAGTCCCCATCTCCTTCAAGGCCAACTTCCAGATCTCCTTAAATGCCCGAGGGGCACACTTCTTAAAGTCCACACTGGATGTGCTTGTGAATGTTGATTGTGTATTCTTAGGTCACCACCTCATTGATGGCAGAATGACCCTTCTTCTTGCCACCCTTCTTTGCGGGAGCCATTCTGCTGGGCCCCCCTTTTTTGTCTTTTTGAGACAGGGTCATGCTATACAGTTCAGGCTAACTTTGAGCTCACTTTGTAGCCCATGATGGTGTTTTTTTGTTTTTGTTTTTGTTTTTGTTTTTTTGTTTTTTCTCAGAACTGGGGATTGAACTCAGGCCCTTGCACTTGCCAGCGAAGTGCTTATCCCACTGAGCCATCTCCCTGGCCCTCCATGCTGGTCTTGAACTCACAACAATCCTCCTGCCCCAGCCTCCTGAGTGCCGGGATTACAGGTGTGCACCACCACACAGCTGATATCAACCTATAACAAGTATATTTTTCATTCATCTAGAATGTTAAATGGACCACTGGCTAAAATAACTGACTAAAATGATGGAGGCTGGGGAGATGGCTCAGTGGAATAAACGCTTCCTTGGCAAGCACAAGGGCCTGAGTTCAATCCTCGGTTCCGCCAAAAAAAAAAAATAAATAAAGTGACGGAACTTAAATATATGTATTATAATTGTAGATTATTAACTCTCTTACCAGACTTTTACATTTTACCAGGTGGGTAATTATCCCAGCTATACCATTTCTTGGTCTCTTGCCAAAAGAATTAACATAGCCAAACCATAGTGATGTATACACCCTCATGTTTATACTGTCATGATTTTATAATTACAAATGTTGACATCACCCCAAATGTCCACTGACTGATGAATAGGTAATGAAGATGTGGGGGTTTTGTGCAATGTAATATTAACCTGACATAAATAGATAAACTGGAAACATTTCTAGCTAAATGGGTGGCCCTTTAGGTAGTAATCCATTTGCTATTTTATTTTATTTTATGCGGAACTGGGGATTGAACTCAGTCCCTTGCGCTTGCCAGGCAAGTGCTTACTCTCCTGAGCTATCTCCCTGGCCCCTGGGTGGACCTTGAGATCACACTCGCAAGTGAAATAAATTGGACATATGTCAGTAGTAGCACATGGTTTCTATGCTGTGAAAAACCAAAAGAGGAACAAAATGCATACTATTTATTTAATGTCTAGTTAAGCTTTTTTCCTAGAAATATATTTGGATTTCAAAATGCTATCTGTGTATAATACAAGAAAGAATGGCTTAAATGAATATTCAGATTTGAAGGTGTATATTCTGTGGTCCTTCAAAAGCATTCATCAGGGCCGAGGAGACAGCTCAGTGGTCTAAGTGCCTGCCTCACAAGCACAGTGACCTGGGTTTGATCCCCAGTACTGCATACCATGCCAGCCCCATACCAAACTGGCCACTGAAACTGGGTGTTGTGGTGCATGCCTATAATCCCAGTGCTGAAGAGGCAGAGACATAAGGATCAGTATGGGTCTGAGCTGCATAATGAGTCACTGTACCAAATAAATGTTTTTTTATTTTATTTTATTTATTTATCTTTTTCTTTTGTGGAACCAGGGATTGAACTCAGGCCCTTGTGCTTGCCAGCCAAGCACTTATTCTACTGAGCTATCTCCCTGGCCCCATAAATGATTTTTTAAAAAAGCATCAAATATTTTTCTGATTTCTTCTTTGGGAAATGGTGACTTGCAGGCTGCCTATGTAAGCTTTGCTTTAGAAACTGCACAAATACATTTCTATGAAATAGGAAAACCACTCATACTGATCCACTTTGGCTCTGGCACAGAGATAATATAGCCTCAGAAAAGCATATGAAACTCTGTGTATGCTAAATGGGGTTGGTAACACGGGCATGGAGGAACATCTTCAATTTAGCTTTTACAGGAGGAATTCAAGTACTGAAGACATGAGTACCAGTGTTGTTTCAGGAAATATGTCTGTGATTATTTAGGAGGCAGTGACCTTGGAGGATGTAACTGTGAACTTCTGTGAGGAGGAGTGGGCTCTGCTGAATCCAGCCCAAAAGAAGCTCTACAGAGATGTGATGTTGGAAACTTTTGGGAATATAAATGCTATAGGTAAGGATGACATCATTTTCTCATATATGCAATGAGAGAGCATTGGTTCTTGCTGATGGGGAGGTAGATTGTGAAACATTTTGAACAGTGTCTCCACCCTATTTACATTATACCATGAATATAACTGCTAACTGATAATTTTTGTATTATGATGTAGTGACGTTTTGTATTTGTATGGCTTCAATTCAGGAACGACTTTGGAAAACCAGCAAATGGAAGAAGAATACAAAAATTGCTTGGAAAATCTAAGGTAATTTACATTTATATAGAAAAACAGTACTTCTCAAGAGTCCGTGTGTGAGCAGAAATATTACAAGGCAACTCAATAAGTCAGGCCATATTCAAATTTATTTAATCTCACAATATTTTTCTCTATGTCCCTACAGCTTGATTTTGTTTAATCTGATAACTGAATACAGAAATATTCCAATATAGAAAACTAATTTAGGGGCTGGGGAGATGGCTCAGTGGAATAAGCGCTTCCCTGGCAAGCGCAAGGGCCTGAGTTCAATCCCTGGTTCCGCCAAAAAAAAAAAAAAAGAAAAAGAAAACTAAGTTACTTGTGACATTTTGCAACAGGAGACACTATTTCATACATTGGTATAAAAAATTTCCTTCAGGATCAACATCATAAAAATGTATAAAGTTACATTTGCTCATTTTTTGGGCATATCTGAAAACAATAAATCTTGAACTTTGGCAGGAATTCACCTGCAAGTTGCCTGCATGTATATATGATATACATTATCTAAAAAAGTTGCCAATGAGTTAGCAACTATCAAAATGCACTAAATGCTAGTATAATAGATATTTGAGAACATCCTCCAGAGAATTGTGTGCATTCATGTTTTAGAATTCTTAGAATGTACCATTTTTTCCCTTAGACTTTTTTGATAGAAATATAAGATAGAACCTTTGTTATGCTCACTGTACAGATATCTCAAAAAAGTAAAAATAATGGGGCTGGGGAAATGGCTCAGTAGAATAAGTGCTTCCCTGGCAAGCACAAGTGTCTGAGTTCAATCCCCAGTTCCACCAAAAAAA